AAGCAATGCGGATTGCGGAAGTTGAAAATTTTATGAAATGACATGTTTGCGAAGTGCAAACCGCGATTTTTTAATCAAACAAAAATTTATGACATTCGAGCCGCGAGATTTCATACCTACTGAAATTATATGATATTAGAGCCGCGATATTTCAGACAAAAATAGGACTTTTCCAGACTAGGTTTGCAAGAGCCATGCTCAGAGAGATTTCATTAGAGAAAAATTTGCTCAAAGGATGGGCATTAGGGCCATCAAGATCTGCAACAGGCTCTATTATAACTATTTTAGAATTTGAATCAGAGCTCTCTGGGTATGACTGATGTACACGTACAGGAGGCTGAGATGAGTGAGATCCCAACTGAGCATTGGTTTTTGGTGAGGCAGCCACAGAGGTAGGTATATCAATATCAATATGGCCTTCCATTGTGGGATGAAAGCCCTCAATCCTCAAATGTATCACCAATATCAAGGACTTCAATCAAGTTCAATGTCATCATTAACCAAGTGTTCTCTTACCTCATTGCTTGTATTAGTACTAGGAGTAGGTGATACAATGTCATGATGTCATCAAGGCTGAGAGGTGGCATTTGTGACCAGGTGGGTATTGCAGAGGGATTAGTAATGCTGACAAGTGACAGTCATGTGACACCGGAAGCAGAATAGGTTTCTGAGCAGTCGGATGATATTGATGCAGTGATGCTCCATCTCCTTGTTCTTTTTTCTTACGTTTAGCTTTGGGCTTGGGCATTCTGCTGGTTTTTTGTACAAACAAGGTACTCCAAATAGGTGCCGGTCTCAAAATTAAGACTCTTTTCTATTTATTCACCGATTCAAAAATGTACTCACTCTATCACATACACACGTCCGTAGTCGACCGAAGCTCGAACCGGAATCCGGATTGGGAAGTGAGAAATCTGATGTCAAATGAAAACATTGCGTCACGAAAAGACACGAACGCAACTTATTTCCTGGTGGATTGTGCCTCTCACGTCTAGCGACTAAAATTTCTTCAATATGTTTCTATGCGTTTCCCATAAATTTTCCTACATTATTCACAAATTTCATTTGAGTTGTAATATAATCTGCGCACCTTTCAATACATCTTCTACTCTTCTCTAATTACTTTTGCTATATTCTTCATGCATCTATACCGGATCGACACTTCAGCACCGAATCGACACTTAAGCGAACTCCCATGCGAACCCGCCTGCGAACTCGAATGCAAAACCTAACTTCATTTTCAACTCAAACAACTTTGACTTTGACTTTGACGGGTTGAGGTGTTGAAGGCCTTATTAGAGGCCTGTTCACCAATCATGGTGATACGTCGTATTAAGCAACGTGCGTGGTGGGCTCCGTTTAGTGATAGCAGTCCGGGTCGTACTTGGTTGCTAGGTTAGACCAGTGAGCGTCCAGGCGAGACTTGAATGAGTTGACACTGGGGGCATTAACCACCTGCTCAGGAAGGCTATTCCACACGTTCACCACTCTGACGGAGAAGAAATTCAAGCGTACCTGGCGACTGCACTGCTCTTTAACAAGTTTCAAACTATGGCCTCTGGTTCTGTCACTGGTGGACAGCTTGAAGAGTGATGCGGTGTTGTACACTCCGTGGACGTATTTGTAACAGTCTATGAGATCGCCTCTTTTTCTTCTGTGTTCGAGACTTGGTAGGTGCAGAGCGGCTAGCCGAGCCGGGTAGTCTAGGTTGCTAAGTGATGCCAGTAGCTTGGTCGCCCTTCTTTGAACATCCTCGACCNAAGACTTGGCGTCTGCCCTACTCTGCTTCGGGTTGGTTCGCTCTGAAGCTGAACCAAGAAAGCGTCTCTGCATGCGCTAAGGAATCGTGTCGCGGGGTGATCCTGCCCTGCTGAACTCTTTTCCTGATCCCACAGAATCTCAGGGTAGTTGAAGTCTCCCAGAATGACTGTACGCTTTGGGTTGACTTTGGTTGCCTCACGTAGCATCTCATTTAAAGCGTTGCAGTTATCGACAGTACTGTTGGGGCTCCGGTACACAAGTCCAAGCAGTAAAGGCTCCCCGCTGTCCACCATACAATCCACAAAGATGAACTCGTTGAAGTTTGACTTCACGCTGTCGCTCAGGCATGGTTTCAGTTCTGTTTTCACAAGTAGGGCCAGCCCCCTACCCTCACTGTCTAAGTTGTGAAATAGGTCATACCCTCCTTTGGCGATTTCACACTCCTGTACAGAATATCTACAGTTTTTGGGTTTGACCTCAGTAATGCCTATTACAGTTGGGTCATACAAGTCAACAAGAGCTTGAAGCTCAGAACGCTTGTTGAGTAAGCTGTCGGCGTTGGTGTATATACAAGTACACGGCTTCCTGCCATGAACAAAGGTGTGAACAACATTTGAAGAACTGTCTTTTGTACAGCTATTTAAACTTTTCATTACAGTGTTTCTTCTTGCCGTTTCGCTTACTCCTCCTCTCGTGGGTACTGACCCACGTTTATTACTTTGCCGTTCCTGCGGATCCATCGCGCGCGCTCGTCCCCCGACGCTTGGGACCGGGCCCTCTTGGACTTGAGTTCCTCAAAAAGTTTGTCCTCTTCCGCCCTTTCTTGGGGGGTCAGGTCCCTGCGTAGGGTGAGCTTATAGCAGAGTTTGTCGCCGTCGTTAGCGTCTGCTTGTGACTTCTTAATCTTATGATACGCCTTCAACACATCATCTCTCACAGCCTCCGAAGAGAAAGTGAGACACACCGGTCGTCGTTTCTGATCTTGTGGTGCCACAGCTTCGGTGAACTTACCAATTCTACGATGGTCGAGGGGCCGGTGGTCAACCTTGATTTCCGCCAAGAGTCTGTTGATCTGTTCGTTGTCTTCCTTCGCTCTGCTCTCACGGTCTAGGTTCTTTTTCTCGGCAAGTTGAAACAGAATCAAGTTACTTTTACGTTTCACTCTCTCTTCCAGCTCTACTAACTGCTTCCTATCTCTCTCAACTACCTCGCTGTACAATTCTTGGGTTTTGTTGACTATCAAATTTTCTACTTCCACCAGGGAGGTGCCTGCTGGGTTGGCAGCAGCCTGGTCGCGGGTGATTTCTTTCACTGCATCCGCCATCTCAGGTGTAAAGTTCCCCTTTTCGATTTCGGCTACCCTGCCGTCCACTCGCCCAACATGCTCTGTCAAGCGGCTTACCTCTTGTTCCATTTCTATCAGCCTTCTCAAGAATTTTGAAGCAGGTTTGTTGCATTGTTTGGAGCAGAAGTAGTGAAGTAATGCGTTAGCTTTACCGCCATCCTGTGTCAATGCATTGTAGGTAGTATCATCAATCTGCTCACAATGTGTATGGTACCAAACATTACAAATCTCACATTGAAGGGCCTTTTCATCAACCAAGACTCTTTTCATACATACTCCACAAAACTCACTATCATTGTTGGCGCCATCTTGCCTTGCTGCTCCTATAGCCTCCAGGTTCTTATTTTTACCCCCTTTGGTGGTTCTGTCGCTTGATAAGGATGTGGAGCCTCTACCCCTAGTGTTTACTTGCTGTGGTTTGGACATCGCTGTTTGTTTATGGGGTTCAAGATCAATGACTACCACACAGCTATCTTCCAGCTCAGTTGGCGAAGGGCAAAGTCAAAAACACACCAGAAGTAGCCCGATAGTGCTCACCAGAAGTAGCCCGTTAGTGCACGTTGTTAGTGCTGAGTAAGCCACGAAAGGGTGAGATGTAGCTTTTCTGCGAAATTGCTGTTAAACACTCATAAATCCGTCAATAATGAACGGATTTTATTCAAATTTGAAATATAAGTAGATAATATCAGTAATTTGTGGACGGAATTTTTTCAGATTTTTACATCATTAACTTTTTTATTAATACGGAAAACCTAACTTCATGTTCAACTCAACCAACCATGAATCCATCAATAATTAACGGATTTCATTCAAATTTGAAATATAAGTAGATAATATCAGTAATTTGTGGACGGAATTTTTTCAGATTTTTACATCGATAACTTTTTTTATTAATACGGAAAACCTAACTTCATTTTCAACTCAAACACCCATAAATCCGTCAATAATGAACGGATTTTAATAAAATTTTAAATATAAGTCCACAAATCACTAATATTATCTAGTTATTTTTCAATTTTGAATAAAGTCCGTTCATTATTGACGGATTTATGGCTGGTTGAGTTGAAAATGAAGTTAGGTTTTCCGTATTAATAAAAAGTTATTGCTGTAAAAATCTGAAATAATTCCGTCCATAAATTACTGATATTATCTACTTAATTTTCGAATTTGAATGAAATCCGTTAATTATTGATGGATTCATGGTTGGTTGAGTTGAACATGAAGTTAGGTTTTCCGTATTAATAAAAAAGTTAATGATGTAAAAATCTGAAATAATTCCGTTCACAAATTACTGATATTATATACTTATTTTTCAAATTTGAATAAAATCCGTTCATTCTTGATGGATTTCTGGCTGGTTGAGTTGAAGGTGAAGTTAGGTTTTGTAATCGAGTGCGCATGCCAGTTGTTGTTGTTTCTTGCGCCAAACGTCACGCTCGCGTGGGCGGAGGCTCTGGTGGTGGTCGGAGGGGTGGCCCCGGAAGAGGGGGAAGATGGGCGAAAGCAGGAAGGGTGGCCAGGAACGTCGACGCCTCCACGGGGTTGTCCCACAATGATGAGACGCTGAGGGACGTGGGGAAGGCGGGGCAGGCAAAGAGGTGCTGGATGGATTGGAGGGGATCCCCGCACTCCGGGCAAGCGGCACTAAGGGAGCGTCCGACCCTGTGGGTGTAGGACGCAAGGGAGCTGCAGTATCCCGAGCGTAGCTGGGATAGCGCTGAGCGGTAAGGGCGAGGGAGCGAGGCCTCTTCTGCTGCAATCGGTGGTGGTGGGGTTGTGCGGACAGCGTTGTTAACGGCAGTCGCCGCAACACGGGTGGCTATCTCCCTACGGAGGGAGCGTTTTGCCTCTCCATAGGCACCGTCGGGCATTATGCCGTCAGCCAGGAAAGGCGCCACAAGGTGGCTGAATCTCGTCTTGATTGACGCTTTCATGGGGCGGTCTCCGGGGGGGAGCGGAGACGATGTTGAAAGAAGTATGAGTAGGCTGGAGGGCGCTGGCGAGTAATTGAGCACAGGCCAGGTCCAGGGGGGCGGACAGGGGGAGGACACCGGTCTCATGGTGGAGATGGGCGATTGGGGCCATCTTGAGGCAGCCGGTGGCTAGTCTCAAGGCTGAGTTTTGGATGATTTGGAGACTTGCAATTGCGGTGCGTGAGGCGAATGAAGAGCGTGACTGAGGATTTCCCAGGAGCCACGGCCAGTTTCTTGGCGGTCGACCAGTCTGAGACACCCCGGAGAAGCTCAGAGAGGTCAGCTTCCGCGGCGTCGAGCCTCGGAGACGACACAAAAATAGTGAGGTCATCTGCATATGAGGCGATGTTAGGGGTCGGAACAGGTATGTCCGAGGTAAAGTAGTTGAATAGGGCTGGTGAGATGACCGACCCTTGGGGAACTCCAGAATGGATTGTTCTGAAGGGGGACCTTGTTCTTAGATAGAGGCAGGAAGCCATCCTGCCTCTAAGGTAACAGCACAGCCAGCGGACCAGATTATGATGTAGGTCTGAGGCCACGATCATGCTAAGGAGGAGAGGGTGGTCAACACTATCGAAAGCTTTCGATAGGTCGACAGCAGCTGCCACTGTCCGTGCTGGGGGACGGCGTGAATTGAAACCCGTCGCAATCTGGTGCGCGAGCGGGAGGAGGGCGGTGACTGTCGAGTGTCCAGGTTTAAAGCCATGTTGCGAAGAAACAGTGGTCCATACTTTCAAAATTTGCTAAGTGAAACGTAAGTACTTACGCTCTATTTTCTTGTTTATGATTGGTGGATTTTGCTTGAAAGGCCGTCAATGATTGGCTGATGAGCTTACGATCTCTTAACTTTATTTGAAAGTATACTCCCGTGACGAGAGAATCAGAGATGTATGGGAGTAGAAGGCGTTCCAGGATCTTGACCGCTGGACAAAGGAGGGAGATGGGGCGGTATGAGGAGCCCTGGTTACCAGGTTTACCTGGTTTTAGTAACGGGATAATTATTGAGTGTTTCCATATAGATGGAATGGAGGCCGTGGAGATAGAGATATTAAAGATGTGGCTGAGGAACTGGAGGCCACTTGGGCCAAGGTTTTTGAGGTGGAGAACAGTGAGGCCATCCGGACCCCGAGCGGAAGAATTGTTAGCGGCTCTGATAGCGAGTTTCACCATGTTATGGGTGAAAGGGGCGAAGTCCCTGTCCAGGGGATACTCAGCCCAAATTCGACGCATAAGGCGGCGGGTGGATGGGTTTTGGAAGTGCGGAGCGATGGAGGTGAATAGTTTGCAGAAGGCGGTGGAGATCTTGCGCCGCGACGAGAGGGGGGGTCTAACCAAATTGGATTGGCTGGTTGGGTGGAGGGCGGCTAAGCTTTCCGGATAGTGACCGGAGAAGGTTCCAGTGTTTTGACTGGTGAGTTCGCCTGTTGCACGAGGCGAGATGTGTTCGCCAGGTATTCCTGGCATGGGCTTGTATTGAAGTGGAGATTTCTAGGTTGAGATCGGGGAGCCGGGGGTTGTTAGGGTTGTTCGCCCTGATGTCATCCCGTTGCTCCATGAGCAACCGGGTGCCAGGGCTGACTGCGGGGGAGAACTCCTTTCGAAAGCTCGCAGGGATGTGCTGCTTGGCAGCAGCCGTCAGGCAGTCCCTGAGGGTCGGCTCACCTCCGCACGAGGTGGGGGGAGGGACTGCCTCGAGCGCTGCTCCAACTGCTGCCGTGTAGGCAGGCCAGTCCGCTTTCTTAAAGTTAGTATAGAGCGGGCAGACCGAGGAGCCGGGGACTCCACGGCGGGCGGTAAATGAAGGAGGATCGGCAAATAGTCGGAGTTTAGAGCGACTTGAGGAGCCCATAAGGTGCTGAGTAGTAGCTGCCCGGTGATGATGGCGAGGTCAGGTGAGGAGGGCGGACCGTGGAAGGGGAGGCGGGTCGGCGAATCCTCGTTGAGGAAAGCTAAGGGGAGCCAGAGATGAAATCGTCGATGGTGATTCCTCCCGTTGCTGCTCTCTGGTCCTCGGTGTGGGAGAACCAGGAGGGGTGATGGGCGTTGAAGTCGCCCACTATCAGACAGTTGTCCGGGATGGTGACAATGTCAGAGAGGTCTGGGGAATATCCCGGGGGGCAGGAGGTGGCTGGTGGGATATATATATATTGATATTACAGAGAGGGGAGACATTGAGCGGAGTGGAGATGGCTATGGCCTCCATGATGGCGTCGCCACGCAGGAGGGGAGAAATATCACGCCCGGTGTACGGGATGTCGTGACGGATCAGGATTAGGAGACCGCCACCGTGGCCACCAGGCCCTATACTTTCAAAAAAAGTTAAGAGATCGTAAGTTCATCAGCCAATAATTGACGGCCTTTCAGGCAAAATCCACCAATCATAGACAAGAAAATAGAGCGTAAATACTTACGATCACTTAGCGAGTTTTGAAAGTATGGCCCCGGGACGGTCCCTACGCTCCAGCGCGTATCCAGGGAAAGAGGGAGGGCGGGAGGCCGCTGAGAGCTTCGTCTCCTGGATGCAGGCAATCGCAACATCGTGCTGTGCGAGGAAGGCACCAATTTCAACTGCGTTGGATTGGATCCCATTGCAGTTAAACTGGAGGACGCAGAGGCGAGTGGAGGCAAGCACGGGGGGAGGCCGTTGGGGCGAGGGGGGAGGGGGTCTGGGTGGGCTCGGGTCAGGCCGTCTGCACGTAGGGCAGATCCAGTCCGCGGAGTAGTGGTGAATGGAGCGAAGGCCGGAGCACCGCTTGTGGCACCAGGCGTTGCACATGGAGCACAAAAACGAGTAGCACTGCCATGTAACCGGGAGGGAGCAGACTGAGCAGGGGTACGGGCCATGATTAGGATGGATACCCTGGGTCAGGAGAAGAAGGACGAATAGGAAGAAAAGATGGGAGGAGGATAAGGGCATAGGTTGTCCCAGGAAAGATAGGCGGCCAAAGGTGTGGGTTGGGGGAAGGGGAGGCCGAGGTTCCCCTGCTTAAGAATAAAATAGAATAGAAATGTCGGCATTGGAGAAATAGGCCCATGGCCTGTTTCCGATTCTTGAACTTTTCGTGATTTGATTCGCAAATGATCCGGCCTTTGGAACACGATTTTTCCATAACTGACGCTTGATTAAGATAGCTGCTGGACTTATTGCCTGGTCCGTAATTTGCTTGGCATTTAATTAAGACTGAACATATGCTCCTACATAGCTTCATCCAGTCTGGTTTTGAAGGTGTTTATGCTCGGAGCGTCTATGATGCTATCAGGGAGGCTGTTCCACATGTCGGTGACTCGAAGCGAGAAGAAATGTTGCCGCATGGATGTGTTCCAATGTAGTTTTTTTAGTTTATAGCCGTGGCCCCTGGTGTTGGTTCTTGTTTCAAATTCTAGTAATCCTTCTGGGACCTTGTATAAGCCATGAGTATACTTGTATGCTTCAATGAGGTCCCCACGTACCCTCCTCCGGCCTTGCATAAAACCTGCCGTGCACCACCAGGCCGCGGATCGAATACGACTTCAAATTGCGTAATTTTACGTTCACCGCATCTGAAATTAGGTTTCAGATAGGACAGTTCTGTTCCAAAATTTATCGTCCTTCGTCGAGTGGCGGTTCGACCGAGGGCTGGTTCGACGCACGGTCGAGATATGATTGTCCAAAATTATTGAAGGCTACGTTCCGGAAGGAAGGAATCATGATGGTCCATCACATCCAGGGCAGTGGAGGTCTCCGGCAGGCGACCCTTCAATTGGACCTAGCGGTGGTGTTTAAATCGTGATTACCTTTTAAGTTACGCCTTAGTTATACCTCTTAGACACTTTTACGGCTGGATTCGCAGCCGGTCTCCAAGTTTCAGTGAACCTAAAATATATCCCAAATTAATTCACGCAGGCTAGATGAAGCTTTGCACATTCGTTCAGTAGGACCTTCATGGTGATGTTTAAGTCGTAATAATTTTTATTTCGCCTTCTTTTCCAAGTTGTACAGCCATACGGTCTAAATTTTGAAACCGGTCGTATCGCATAATCATATAACTCGCAAATGAAGGCGATATCGAAAAAAATTTCCACAACTTAAATGTCACAGTTTGGTGTTCATAAATTTATATTGAAAGATTTGCTCAAATCTGGACCGTATGATAATGGATAAATTAGGCTCACTTAGAATTTTGATACGTATTACCGTATAACTCACAATTGAAGGCGAAATAGAAAAGGCGAACATGACTTAAACATCACCGTTAGGTTTTATTGAACGTGTGCACAGTTTCATCAAGATAAGCTCATTAGTTTACCAGATATTTTAAGCTCACTGAACTTGGAGACCGGCCGGAAAGTGTCCAAGAGGGCATCTATTCTATGATTCGGCCACGTGAAGAGGATATTGTGTGAAAATTGTGATTTCTCAGCTTATATGTACGGTGAATTTGTTATAATACGAATTGAATATGATACATTTTCTCGAAAATTTTATAATAAAAACATTGTTAGCATTGATTTCATCTGTAATTTATAGCTTATGATTCCGGATTGACGATATTTCTGCGTTGTCATAACAACCATTTGTTGTCGAGTTCACGTGTTTCCTCAAAAGTGACGCCACTAGTTATACTCGTAAGTGCGAAAGGTCAAAGGAGTGAAACAGCACTGAAATTTTTTTATCTGATACCTTAGTCGTCGCAAAAAAGTATATTCTAAAGAACTCTAAACATTTTAAAATGCAATTAAATTTAAATAAATCGTTTTTGATAGACAATTAGCCTATTGCCCTCCTTTATCTGATCATTCTCTTAGGCCACTATGCAGAGGGTGGATGCAGCGTCGGCAATATATGGATTTTTAAGCCCAAAGCGTCGCCGGCCATTTTAAAGATGCGTCGCCGGGTAATTTTTAACGAAAAGCCATTTACACTGAGTAATGACAAACTATTTACAAGCCACGAACTTATTACAAGGTTGCATGCACGTGTTACCCCAAATAACTAATTTTACCCTAAAAACGGTCCGGTTGTACAGCAAGTGTCAACTGAACAAGTAATAAAGCAGCCTGACCGCTCTAATGCGACCGAAACTACGCAGTCTAAAAAATGTTGTTTA